TATATATGCATTGACTTAAAGTCAGATTAATTAATTCTATTATTCTACTTTTGACACCTAAACCTAATTGATTGAGTTTGTGAAAAGGATTTTCTTCATCGCTTGTTTGTGGGACTTATTTAAGCATATGCATTGGAAATGAAATTAATGGACTTCATAGAACAGTTTCCCTACTAGAAAACCAGTTTATTTATGAGTTGATTACAACAACTATATGTGTTAAACTGATTTATAGAGACAAATTGTGTTGCTATGCAACAGATTCCCTGTTTTCATTAATTTTTGTCTAATTAATTAATTAATGGCAAAAAAAAAAAAAAATTGCAAACCCTACATACGAAGATCACATTTTGCTTTGTAATTAAATCTTCTCTTACCTCGCTCTCTCTTTTTTACTTGTTGTCCCTATTGATAACTTTATATAAAGGTTTTTAGGTTATTCTTATCACCTAATCAATTAACTATATTTAAAGGTTATCTTCTTCACTTTCTACCCAAATTTCAAGAAAAATGGAAGTTAATCATGTTTTATAATAATATCAAGAAATTAGCTCCTCATGCTTTATACGTGTCGTGATACTAGTGTTCTAAATCACTTTCATCTCGTTTCACAAAAGTCCAAAAATACTTTAACAAAAAGTATTAAAAAAAAAAAATTTCATCACAACTTGCCAATTACTTGATATTAATAGCCAACAAGATGATCTACTTACTTAATTTAGTTGTAACTAGAGACACTTAATTAATGAATTTGGCTAAAGTTCATTCATGTTCCATAAATATTACTGATTTTAGTTTTAAGAGTAATTCTAGAAATATAAATTTTGTATATAAACTCAATTTGTATTGATTTATTTTACATTAAATCTTGCACTATTCTAGTTTTAAAGCTGATATTGAAAAAAAAAATAATAATAATAACTCATAGTATGCATAAATCAAATTAATTTATAATTTCACCTAGCCTTATACATGCCTACCTTTGGTTTCTTTGAAATTAAGCATATAAAAGCAAAAAGATGTGTGACACTTGGACACATGGTGGGATTAATTAATTAATTAATAGGGCAAAGGAGTACCCACATAGACACCCCTTAATTCAAAACGTATGTGACAAAGTTGATGTGAATGGAATAATACTAACAACTAATTGCAATAAATAAATTGTGCAATTATGTGACATAGGCCCTGTTCTTCATTAATTTTAGTTATATATGCATTAACTTATAGTCAGATTAATTAATTCTATTATTCTACTTTTGAAACCTAAACCTAATTGATTGAGTTTGTGAAAAGGATTTTCTTCATCACTTGTTTGTGTGACTTATTTAAGCATATGTATGGGAAATGATATTAATGGACTTATTTAAGCATATGTATTTGATCAAGATTCTCACTTGAAGAATCTACAAAAAGAAAAAATTACAGCTAAATTTCTAACTTAAAATTGCAAAAAAATAAATAAATTGTCTTTTAATGGATTCTTCACGATAGAAAATGTAATCGTAAAATTCTAAAAGATATTTTTAAATTACGAAATCATTGCTCAATTTTTATTCTTTCCATGCACGAAAGCATAGTGACTATTATTACTAATTAATTTTTCAATTAATCTGAAGTGGGGGAGGTTCTAATTAAGAGTAATATTTTGTAGTTGACAACCAAAATTTCTGTTTTTTTTTTTTTTTAATAAACAGAAAAAAAAAATTGTATATTAAGCTTAATTTGTTTTTGAAACACCCATGAATCAGCAATAAATGTATGGTTAAAATTATTATAGCCCAAAATGGAATTAGATTATATCATTTGGGCCAAAACAAAAATAATTTCACTTTGAAACCTTAAACCATATTAATCAACACCTTTTGATTTAACAAAAACACCTCTTATATAAAAACTATTACACATTAACTTAGAGTCATTCATTGAGCTTTTTGAAAAAAAAAGAGAAACTAACTGAAATTAAAGGGAAAAATTGAGATTTATAAAGGATTTTGGGTTTCCGATCGAACGCTTGGGAGAAAGGGAGGGAAAAAAAGCGTTTTGTAGTATGCAGATCACATTTTGCTTGTAATTAAATCTCCTCTACCTCGCTTTTTTTTTTTTTTTTTTTTTAATACTGTTGTCCCAATTGATAACTTTAACAAAAGTTTTAGTTATTCATCACTTAATTGATAATTTAATATAAAAATTGTAATTAAATCTCCTCTTACCTTGTTTTTTGTTTTTTTTTTTTTCTTGTCCCTGATTGATAACTTTAACAAAAGATTTTAAGTTATCTTATCACCTAATTGATAATTTAATATAAAAATTTTACGTTATTCTTATACCTAATCAATTAACTATATTTTAGGTTATCTTTTTACTTTCTACTGAAATTTCAGGGAAAATGGAAGTTAATCATGTTTTATAATATTAAGAAATTAGCTTTGATACCTCGTTTCACAAAAATCAAAAAATACTTTAACAAAAGAATAAAAAAAAAAAAAAAATCATTACAACTTGCAGATACTTGATATTAGTGGCCAACAAGAATTACTTAATTTAGTGTAAGTAGAGGCACATAATTAATGAATTTGGATAAAGTTCATTCATGTTCAATAATAATATTTGCTTCGTTGGTTGGTTTTGGGAATACTACTTTAGTATTCCCAAAAAAGTTAAACAGTAAACACCCAAACTCAACAAATATTATTCAACTTTATTCAACATTTTTTAAACCCCCTAAATTTGTTAATTCAATTAAATACCCCTAAATATTTTTAATGTTTTTGTTACGGCGACTCCGGTCACCCTCCGGCGGTGGTGGCCGGCTGTCCGTATTTAAAGGTGGATTGGAGGTGTTTTAGTTAACTTTTAATGTTTTATTATAAGGGGTGTTTTGTAAAAAAATAAACATAGGGGGTATTTTATTAATTTGTAAATCCTACATCGTAATACCCGCCCAATTCAACTTTTTTTTTAACTTTTTTCAAAAAACTTTTCCCAAAAACACAAAATTGGTTTTAAGAGTAATTCTACAAATATAATTTTTTGTATATAATCTCAATTTGTATTGATTTATTTTACACTAAATCTTGTATTATTCTAGTTTTAAAGCTGATAAAAAAAACTTAAGGTATGCATAAATCAAATTAATTTATAATTTTACCTAGCCTTATACATGCCCACCTTTGGTTTCTTTGAAATTAAGCATATAAAAGCAAAAAGATGTCTGACACTTCGCATATGGTGGGATTAATTAATTAATTAATTAATATGAACATATGGCTACATTGAGAAGTTGCTAAACAATGCTGTTATATTTACAATTCGGCTGGGTTAAATTGAAAAATATTTGTGGATTGGAAATGGTGTTTGCATGAGTGGAGATAGTTAGGTTGTTGAGGGAAAGATTAATTTGATGGAAAAGCATGAAATGTTTTCAAGAATTTCTTTTTCTTTTGGAAGTTCCCATACATCATTCATGTTAGCCTTACTATATTTTTGGTTGTCTTAGCATTTTACAAGAATTGAATTGGCTATTTTCTCTAAACATTCACGGTGTAACGTGTTATATATTGTGAGAAGTGTATGTATATGGTTATGTCTTTTATAGAAGCAACTATGAATTAGTGCTTAAAATAGGTGAAGTTAGTAATATAAATAGGAGTTAGTTTTACTTAAAAATGAAACATGTTATTTTATTAGATTATATTCGCATACACTCGGTTGGAATGTGCATAGTCATGTATTGGGAACTCGTTGCCTTGTGTTTGAATGCTGAAATTGGGGGTGTATGATAGTGTTTAATACGTGTTGTGGTTGGTTTTATAGAAAGGAGTTTGGGTTCGGTTTGATTGAGGTTGGAGATATGGGCTGGATATTAAATTATAATAAGATTCTAATTTAATTTGTGTTGAAGGGCTTAATGGAGTTGATGAGCTTAATTAAATTAGTGGAGTTAGTTTGGTGGGCTGGCCTAATTTAAAGTAGGCCCAGATTAAATTGGTTTGGGTTTTATTGTCATAGTGGGCCGGCTTATTATTACTTTAAGGCCCAGTTAATTTTGGGCTGTTGGGGTTATTTAAATTGGTGGGGTTCATTGAATTAAAAAGGCGAATTTGAAATGGCAACCAATGGTATTCGAAAATCTGGTACAAGGGTTTGGATTATTGTGTCTGGCACAAGTTGAGATGATTGTATACTCAATTTTGATGATGGGTGTATCGGTTTAGGTAAATTTGATATGGCGACCCATGGTATTTAAAAATCTGGTACGAGGATGTGGATTATTATGTTTGACATGAGTTGGTACGATTTAAGGTTTGACGGTATCCAAAATTATATTGGGTTACTGTTCCATCATTACATGAGCATTTATGGTGTTGTATGACAAGCAAACAGACTTTTCACATGCAAGTTTTAATGATAAAGCTATTTTCGTAAACAATATTTACTTATTCACTAGGTTTCTAGCTTACTGTTTTATGTTTTTTCCACAGGTTTGCATACAGGGTACATGAGGCGCATGTTACACATGGTTGGCCTACAAATGCATATTCATCGGCATGATATTTGTACATTTAGCAGCACTCTGATGCAATGTTTTTGTAAACTGATTTCTAATGCTGACACTTTCAGAATTATATTTCTAGTTGCACTTTTGTCATTAAAGTTTTGTAAACTGTTTTAAAAAAATTCACCCTCCTCTTGGGATCTTGAGTCCCTCAGAGCAACCAGATATGACAAGATAGAGAATAGGCGGGAGGGGGCGTGACACAACTCATAAGGGATGCAACAAAGGATGTTGTAGTAAAAGATGATGCCATTTTCTTTCAAGAACCTGTAACTCAACAATCGAAAAGAAAGTAAACAATCTTTTACAACAATGTCACAATCCAAAGCATTCATAAACTATAAGCCATATAAATTCTAATTGAGCTCAAAATAAAAAACATTGTCACAGAAATCGTTTATCAAAATCTCCCATGTTGAAATTAAAAACATTTTAACCCTTCAAAACGAAAACCAAACACATTTTTTCCCCATATTTTCGCAGCAACCAAACACATTCCAATATTCCACTCTATCACAAGAGAAGTAAAATCCCATTAGACTAACACAGCAAGTTGAGTTAGTTAAAAGGAGTTTTGTCTCACTATCAAACCAAAAGAACATAAAAGTTCAAAAGTTTCTCTTCTATTATCTCCAGTTTAACTACAAATTAAAGCAACAAACAAAAACGCATAAATAGGTTTTGGTAGAATATTGTCATCCACTTCGAATAAAAATGGAATCTCGAATTGCCAATGGCATCTTTCTTTGTAGACTTCTCTTAAGGTTTCTCTTTTCATTTATGGTTCTTATAAAACCATTCATTTTCAAAGCAAGAAGTGAAAAAAGAAAGGTATATACTATTGCAGTTTTGACTGTAAAAGATCCTTCTCAAATCTGGATGATAAAAGGATCTTCAAAAACAGCTCATAAACAATTCATGCCTAACTGTATGCCATTCCAAGATTGTCTTGTTCACTTCCCACCGTCAAAAGCCTGTCTTCCCTAACGAGCCTAGCTACCATTTCAGAAGATGGATAGCACCTGTTTTTCTTTCTATAGCTGTTATAGCTTCAACTTCTTTCCAATAGCTGGAGCTTTATTTGCTAACAGGAAACTTGAAGCCTGCAAGAATTATGAATGTGTGAAGAAGAAGAGTTCCTGGAAAGAACCTAATTAATAACATGAAATATCATAAGGATACTTTCGTACACGCATATTATTTGAGGAATATAGAAAGTTGACCATAAAGTAGAGTCAATCAAGTGTTGCAGGATTACAGCTCATCAACGGATTGATAGCAATAGTATATATATGTAATAACTTCTTCAGCATTACTTCACGCAAGACAGTTAAGAAAAGGAAATGGATTCAAGGCTTTTTGAGGCAATTGCCAACAATTACAGAGGTGCCTTCGACAATTTAGTTCAAGACAATGAAGGAATTCTGGAACAGAGAACTGATTATCACTTGAGCACCGTGTTGCACCTTGCCTCAAGGTTCAGGCACTTCGAATTGGTGAAGGACATCATTGAGTTGCATCCTGAAATTGTTGAAACTGTGAACAAGAAGCTTGTCGACAAGGTAGAGCAGATGCGTTAATGCTGCTCCTGGAGACTAAGCCGTGGATAGCTACTATGCTTAACTATGAAAATGAAAGTGCATTTTTCATAGCTTGTAGACAGGGGCATCTTGATGTGGTGAAGCTCATGATGAATCAGTCTTGGCTGATGGACTTTGAAGAAGATGGGATTGATCTAAATGCTCTACATGTTGCCCCAGCAATGGGGCACACAGGTAATAACTGTATTCATTTTTACTTTGGAACAAAAGTTGGAGCTGATCAACTTGTTTTTCTGAACTCATTCAAGTGCGTTGTGGAGCAGACACTGTTCAGAACATATTGGAGGTGCGGCCAAATTTTGCTCGAAAGAGCAACAAGAATGGATATTCTCCGTTGCACTGTGCTTGTAGCAGAGGATACTTGGAGATAACAAGATTTTTTTTGAGGCTTGACCAAGACCTTGCTCTGCAATAAAATGACAAAGGTTATACCCCATTGCACTTGGCAGCCATACATGGCAAAGTTCCAATCCTTGAAGAATTCATGTTAAGTTCTCCCACTTCCTTCCAGTACCTGACAAAAGAGGGAGAAACAATGTGTCATCTTGCTGTAAAATTCAACCAAAATGATGCACTTGTACGTCTGGCAAATTTCTTCACATCATCTGATCATCTCTAGAGGAAACTATCAAGTATTTAAGTGGAAATGTTTCAGGATTTCAGATAAAGAACAAAACATTTTGCATTCTAATTGATTTTAATTGATAACATGATGTCTTTATTTTGAAATGATTTCAGTTAGCCATGTACATTGTGAATACAACAAAAGAGATTATAAACTGCTGCAATAATAAAGGACATACGGTACTTGAAATTCTTGAACTGTCTCCAGGTAATGCAGAAAGCAAGCAGTTAAAGAAAGCCGTAGAGGCAGCTGCTGATAAAAGTACAGAGTTGTTGCCTCTCTTAGCAGGGGCACAAGAAACTAATTCACAACAGCAGACACTTGAAAATTCCAAAGATATACTTGAGACAAAAAGCAGGAGCCTTCTTCAATATCTGATTGATATACGCAAAGTTGTGAGCTGCCCTTAGACTTCGGACTCGGCTACCAGCCAGAGGTTGTGCCTACACCAAGCTCAAGCGTGTCAGCAGAATCTTGGAAGGATTCAGGTAAGTGTGAAATAAAAGAAAAATATAGAAGTCATGACAGTAGCCAAATAAAACTACAGATCTAGAAGAAAAAACTGGATATGCTCACCACCCAGCCTCGACACAAGTGCATTAGCAAATCTTGTGGTTTCTTGCCCACACCAAATATGGAACTAATGTCAACAAAGGATTTACTCGAGGTTCCATCCTTTGAGAAACCAGAATTCAAGATGAAAAGCCACTAGAACCAGTGTCTTTAACAGAAGCCAAGGATTTGTGTGATCTGAAAGAAATCAAGACCGTGAGTGATAAACACAGGAGAGAATTGAACCAGCTTTCTAAAAGTCGCAATAAAAAGCAAAAAGCAATATGGGATATACAGAGAGGCCGTACAAAATGCCAGGAACACAATTATAGTGGTGGCAATTTTGATTGCCACAGTTACAGCCACCACTTGACCTTGTTGGTGAGTACTAACAAGGTCAAGTGGTGGCTGTGTCATTCATGGCTATTGCTTACATTGCTGCAACAACGGTGACCATGCCACATTGTATAGAATCAGGGTGGATGTTTGAGGTTCTACTGGCTATCATTGTTGGGACTGTAGGAACTGTGTTCATGTATCTGGGACTTGTGCTGACAAGACATTGGTTGAGGAAGTTGAAGTGGAGGGAAGAGAGAGGTCAGAGGAGGAGAGCAACTGCAACCATTCAAGGTAAAGCTCAGTCACAACATGACAGAACTAATGCTGCAAGAGCAATCTATTCAGAATCCACCATCTCAGATGTTGACAGTTCCACCTCATTAGGATATCATGCATATTGAAAGATTTTAAATCCACAAAGAATAATGTCAAGTCTTTCTTTTCTTTTCATTTGGAGAAGGCCGAAAATCGTGTGTCAAACAAATTAAATAGTTCTGCTAACTGCTATGCCAATATTTACGAGGAAAAACCTTTCAGAATTATATTCTTCAGTTCTTCAATATTGCCTAGAATTTAGCTACAGGCAGTGATTTAACAAATATTGAAAAAGTTTAAGTGAATAGAAATAAACCCGGAGCAAAATGTTAAACTTAGTTTGAATCCCTTTCTCCAAATTACGAGGAAAGAAAGATCAACTCACTCCAATATTTTGATTGAATAACTGCTCAATGAAAGCTCCTTTGCGAGGGCTTGGAATTTGCACCATTGCCTTCCTTGAATTCTCCGTGACCTTTCCAAGGAGGCTCGACAGGACTTTGCTTGCGGATGGAGAAAGGACTTTGCAGGTGGTTCCTCTCTTCTTCAGCTGCTCACACTCTTTCTGTTTTATCTCTTGTAGACCACAAAGCATAAATGCATGACCAATAGCATTAAAATTTGGAATGGTAAAAAGTATGGATAGTAAATCAAAGACTATATAAAATGCCATGGTCCAATATGTTAGCTGCATGGTTCCAGTGTTGTCCCTTGGAGAAGACGCCCAAAGAAATGAACTTACCTTGTAGTAACATGATTGTAATTCTTCTTTTGCTTCCCATCCTTCTCATTCCGTAATGTGGAGAACTTAGATAGGTAAGACACGCGTAGAATGAGCAATTATTTCATCTGGTATAGTGTATTTCCTTGATCCTTCACATGCACCAAAACAAAAATATGTACACCAACTTTCCTTAACAAAGAACAAAAAGTATTTTAATATCAATATAAGCATTAACACACCTCAATGAGTAATCAAAGGATTTTATATAGTGAATTTCGAGCAAATGAAGAAGCTACCTACATGATTGATCCCTCATAAAGAATACCCAAATTATGGATTTTTTTTTTTTTAATTACTGCTTTAGTCTAGTCTGAATCTATTTTTACATTGTGCTATCCTCTTGCTTGTGAGCCACAAAACAGTCAAAGCACTTGGAATAACAAATCTGTGCCGCCTCTGAAATGAATCTACCCCTGTAATTAATAATTCAAGAATTAAAAATGACATGATTTCTTATTTCAGGTGCCAACATATCAGATACATATTCAAACTTTGTGGCAGTATCAGCAAACTTACATATAATTAATAATTAGATTAAAAATGTTATGTAGTTCTTAGAGATTAGAAATAATAACAAAGAGCATACATAAATACTACCTGTGGCTTGTGCGTTGACATATAAAATCAATTTGGATGTTAGGGATGTGAGAGATTTTGGGCCACGCCAGTCCAATTTCCTTATTGTACTGTTATTCTTGAATAGGAGATTCAGTTATCTCTAATTCCTTGAGTGTTGTCCTCCGGTGAAGGTTGTCTGGCAATATGCCACTATCTGTATAATCACCTTTTTCTTTGGCAATAACATCTAATTTTTATTTGTTTCTTCTATCTTAACCACAATGTCATTATGTAAAACAACTTCCTTGAAGCAAAAGCAAAGAGAGGGAAAGAAGCAACACACCTTCTTCTTAGGATCAAGAGCCTCCACACAAGCTTATCAGCAAATCTTTCAGTTTCCTTTCATTAAACACAAGTTCTTTTTAGCAACATTGTCTATAAATTGAAAAAAAATGAATAGTACAATGCCTATTATCAATAACATCTAGTATGAAATAGAAATGTAGATCTCATGTCAGCTCACCAAGTTGAACAAGACATCAATTGGACATTTGCTTCATCAGATGCGTTTTCTGTTAATTACAAGAGATGATGTGAAGTTTGCGTGATTGGCCAATAGTATCATAAGTAAATGATAAAGAATAGAGAGAGGTAAACAAGTATAACTAAACAATTTGTTTAGAAGCATTAGAAAGCAGAGGCAATTAAGAAAAAGGAAATAGACTCAAGGCTTCTTGAGGCAGTTTGCAACCATGATATAGCAGCTTTTGTGAATTTAGTTCAAGGCAACAAAGGAATTCTGGAACAAAGAACTGATTATCACCTGACCACGGTGTTGAAGCTGTCGTCCAGGTTCAGGCACAACCAATTGGTAAAGGATATCATTGAGCCGCATCCTGAAATTGTTGCAACTATGAACAAGAAGCTTGAGACTCCATTGCATGAAGCTTATTGTTAAGGGAAAGCCGAAGTGGAATGCTGCTCTAGGAGACTAATCCGTGGACAGCTATTAAGCTTAACCATGATAACAGAAGTGCATTTTCGTAGCATGCAGAGAAAGGGTATCTTGATGTGGTGAAGCACATGATGAAGCAACATGGCTAATGGAATTTTAAGAAGATGAGGATGATTTAACTGCTCTAAATGTTGCCACATCAATGGGACACACAGGTAACACAGAAATACATTGCACTGTGCTTGTAGCAGAGGATACTTGGAGATAACAAGATTGTTCTTGAGGGTTCACCAATACCTTACTCTGCAATACAATGAAAATGCTTACTCCGCATCACCCTTTGCAGAAGTGATGCTAGAAATCATGATGAAAGCAAGCAGTTTAAGAAAACCTTAAGAGCAGCTGCTGGTAAATTAAAGAAGCAAAGAATTGGCAACTCTCTCACCAGGGGTCACAGAAATACATTCTCAACTGCCGATGCTTGAAAACTCCAAAGGGTTGATATGGGCAACAGTGTGAAATGCCCTTAGACTTCCAACTTTGCAAGCAGCCAGGACTTGTGCCTGCATCAAGCTCAAGTGTGTCAAACAAATCTAGAAAATTATCAGAAAAATATGACAGTTGTGACAGCACCCTAATGAAAAAACATATCCAGAAACAAAAACCGGATATGCTCACCACCTGGCCTCGACACAAGCGTATCAACAAATCTTGTGGTTTCTTGCCTACATCATCCATGGAACCAATATCAAGAGAGGAGTTGCTTCAGCTTCCATCCTAAAGAAACCAGAAATTCAAGATGATAAGCAATTAGAACCAGTTACCTTGACAGAAGAAAAAGATTTGTGCAATCTGAAAAAATTCAGGACCTTGAGTGATAGACACAGAAGAGAACAGAGAAAACTTTCGAAAATTTTCCCGAAAAAGCAAAAGCTATATGAGATATACAAAGAGGTACTTCAAAATGCCCGGAACTCAATTATAATGGTGGCAATTTTGGTTGCCGCAGGCACAAACCCTTGTGGTTGAGTCCTGCAGGAGGGGCCATTGAAAGGGTTATCAACAGTTGGCAGAACAACTTTTAAGGTCTTTACAGTAAGCAACAACATTGCATTTTTCACAGCTTTATGCATTGTTGTTGTTTTGTGGATGGCTTGTCATCTTTCTGCATTCACATCTTTACAGTAAGCAACAACATTGATTACTCACAGGGTCTTGTGGATGGCCTTTTACTTTATAGCTATTGCTTACGTTGCTGTGACATGGGAAACCATGCCACGTTGTAGAAGTTGAAGATGGATAAGTGAGGTTCTAAAGGCTTTCAGTGCTGGGACTGTTGTAACCATGTTCATGTATTTGGGACTTCTTCTGTAAGCCTAATCATCTTCTCCTCTGTTGTAGTGCAAAAAAATTGAACTGAGACAGAGAAATATTTGTTTTGGGGTTAAAAGTATAAAAAGTAATAGTTGCACTTAAAAAGTAAATCAATAATTTATGAAAAGTTATGCTATATATTTCATCCTAAGCTATGATAAGAGCTCTGTGGATGAAATATCATTGTTGGTTTAAATAACCTTTTTAACGCCCCGCCCCACACCCACCACCCAGGTAAAAGGTAAAAAGAAGCTCAATATTTGTACCTGCTTCTGGCTGTTCTGAAAATCCAGGTTATTATTTCTCGGTTAACTGTCAAACTTCCCTAGTATATTACCTCCAAAAAAATATAATTAACATAAAATAGAAAGCTTATGGAGAAAACTAAACCAGAACTCAAATAGATGATAAAGTGAAAGCCATTACTGCAAATCTTCTTCTCTTCTTCCGCTGCTCACATTCTGTCTTCTCTGCTGTAGACCACAATGCATTAAATCCTGATTACTAGCACTGAAATCAGGAGTGATAAGAAGTATGGATAAATCAAAGACTCTATTACCTGAAGTCAGACAGGTAAGAGAAATGAAAACCAGTACTTCTTTAATTAGGTATATTGTATGACCTTGATTCTTGAAGAAATGTTTAATGACATCATGTTAAAGTTGCTTCTGCACCAAAAAAGAAAAAAAAAGGACAAAAGGGACAAAAAGGAAACAAAGAGTAATTTAATATCCATATAAGCATAAGCAAACCTCAAAGAGCCATCAAGCTGCATGATCAATCCAAAGGAAAAATGCACCTTTTGTAACTGCTTTTGACTAGCCTCAAACTGCGTACTTTCTTTTCTCCACCTACAACAAAATTAAGGATGTTAGTCTGGGGTGACTATTAAGGAAAAAATTATTATGAAACAGAGAGCTGGTCACCTTGTGCTACTGCTATCCTCTGTCTTGTAAGCATTGATCCAAGACTAATAAATTTGTACCTCTGAAATGAATCTACCCCTGTTACATTGATTGAGTATTAATTAAAGCATTTTAAGTAAATTTCGTAGCAGAAATAACCGTACCCGGCAACCTTAACATTTACAATAAGTAATTTGTTAAAAATAATAATAAGATGGAGTGATAGAATATTAAAGAAGAAATTGAAAAGATAAGTTTTGTAGTGTTGGTCCAAACAATAATTTGATTAAAAAACAAAAAAAAGTAATGTAGTTCGTAGATTAGAAGTAATAACAAGGAGCATACATAAGTTATTACCTGTGGCTAGCGGGTTGATGTTTGCAGCTGCCGTTTGACCTAATTATCGATTTGGATTTTAGGGATGTGAGAGATCTTGTGCCAGTCCTCTCCTGTTCCCTCTTTGTATCGTTCACGTAGAATATTACACGCAAAAATGTTCAATTCTTTGAGTGCTATTCCCTGGAGAAGGCTGTCTGGAAGTGCCTTTAATTTGTGGCAGGAAACAATTCGCAAGGTAGCAAGACAAGGCATGAATTTAATATGTTCCTTATCTTCTCCCTTCTTTGCAATGTTGTTGTCCCACTCTTCACATTCGTTCATATGCCAAAATTCAAGTTTTTCCAATTTGGGGAAGAAATAAGAGGATGAAGATGACGAAGAGGTTCCACTTTCCATTCCCCAAAACACATTATCCACTTTTTTCACATTGTTCATTGAAAATATATATAATCTTTCAAGGGATGGCAGTTTCCCCAATGGATGCAAATTCTCACAATTGGAAACGTTGCGAAGAAATAAAGACTTCAGCTTGGTTAATGACGTGATCCAAGTGGAGGGAAAAGTGTTGCCTCTGTAGTATTCTATCTCCAGCACCTCTAATTTTGGAGGTGGTAGTAAGGCTTCGAGGACTAATTCATAATCTTCACATGATATCCCTCCTCCAGTAGTTATCAACTGGAAACTTCTCCTGTCTATCCTTTTCAACTTATGAAACAGCAGAGTCAAACGAGTGAGGTTTTCCTTATTCGTAAGTACTTGGTTGATTTTACCATCACTCGCAATTTTCACAAATCCCAACCCTCTTATTGTAAGGCTCCCTTCAAGATTATTCAAAAATTTCAATCCTTCGAGACTACATGCTTTGCTGTCATTATCACCTTCACTACTTATAACGAATTCGCTCAATGTTTGAAGACCAGTTAATTTCTCAATCTCTTTCGGAATGTAAAGTAGTCCAACACAATCATTATTTTTTAATCGCCTCAAATTTACTAATTTCCCAATCCCTTGAGGCAATTCAACTATAGAAAAACAACCAATAATGACTAAAGTATGCAAATTATATAATTCGCACAAGCTTTCTGGTAATTGTACTATATTTTGTAAACTCAAATCAAGATATCTTAAATGAATCAATTTTTTTATATCTTTTGGAATCTCTTCAACTCTACATTTCGGGAATTTCAATGACCTTAAACATGTCAATTTACATAAATTTTGTAAAACATCACCGGACAATGCATTATAATCTCTGTCATCACTAATCATGAGGAGACTACGTAGACTTTTGACACTACAAATGGACATTGGAAATGAAACCCCTTTATTAACTTTTAACATTAAATGACGAACATTTTTGTTAGAAGAGTTTATAAAAGGATCCTTATCACCAATATTGACTTCTATAGCAAGACATTCACCGTTACTCAAAAATAGCGCAAAGTCATGCACTATATCATGCATCTTATAACCCGATATAACATCTTCATATTTTACAAATTCTTGTAAGAAAGATCGTGTAGCTAAGTGATCAAAACACTCTTCACCTATTGTCTCTAACTTTGCATGTTTTTCTAACTCTAAATAACCTTGCGCCATCCATAATCTAATCAAATCGACTTTATCTATATTGTAATCTTTAGGAAAGATAGCACAATAAGAAAAACATCGTCTTATTATGGATGGCAAATCGTAATAACTCAACATCAAAGGGGAAAAAAGACCTTTTTCTATCTCCTCGAATTCCCAGAGTTCACTATCTAAAACACGTTGCCATTCATCTCTAGTCCTCTTACACTGCAAAAGACGCCCAATAGTTTTTGTAGCAAGAGGTAACCCTTTGCACTTCTTTACAATTTCCCTGCCAATTTCTTCTAACTCATGAGAAGGTCTTTCAAAAAGAGCTAGCTTTGTAAACAACGACCAATTTTTCCTCATCAGACAATTTATAAACATTGATAATATCTGAGTTCATTTTTTGTGCAACAGACTGTTTACGCGTGGTAATTAAAATTTTACTTCCATGGAGACCGTTCTTCAAACAATGATAGAATGGTTCCCATTTATTGTAATCTTCATTCCACACATCATCTAAAACAAGGAGAAATTTCTTGTTTTTGATATATTTCTGAATTTTTTCAATAAGAGAATTAAATTCTACTAAATTAGAGGAAGAGTCTTCTAAAGCTTCAAGGATAGCTTTGGCAATCCTAAATTCATCAAAAGAATCTGATACACACACCCAGATTCTTTTAGTAAAAATTTTCTTCACCTCATCATCATTGTAGGCAAATTGGGCAAGAGTTGTTTTACCCATTCCAGGCATCCCCACAATTGAGATGATGTGAAGGTTATTTTCACTACTACCATCACACAACTTCCTTATTAAAGTTCTCTTCTCATCATCTCTACCACATATTTCAGACACATCAAATACAGAGGTACTATCTATTCGCCTGGGTCTCTCAATAGTTGGACTGAATGAATAATTATCTTTTTGTTTGGCAATTTCATCTAAATTTTCATTTATTTCTTTTATCTTGCTAGCGATGTCATGACGCAGAACAACTTTTCGGACGCCAAAGCAAGAGGAGGTAAAGAAGGAACATACCGAAGCAAGGTGATCAGCAAAAAGAGCAAGAGCGTTTTGATCATCATGACCTTCCTCGATTTGCAGTTTCATCATTGCAGTATGCCACTCATCCAACACATCTTCCACGTCGTAGGATGCATCTTTGAGGTTACGTAGCCAAACTCTTACAGCTTCATCCTTCACTTGCTTTTGCTCTGCATCAACGACCACAGCTTGAATGGATCGAAGATTACTCTTAATTTTTTCTACTTCTTTCTCAACACCCACTACTAGCTTCACCTTTTTATTTATCTCTTCAGCAGCAATTGAACCCAGCTGCTTCAAGGAGCCATAAAAAAATGCTTCTGCAGCCATGGTAAATAAGATTGAATAAGTTGCAAAAGAGAAGAAATTACTCAAGTGCTCAAGTATTGTGATAGTGAATGCTGCCATCCTTTCGGTACTTATATATACATCATGGAGGAAGTCACATGTGACATTTCATTTCTAAATTAATTTCCAATTTCTATGGGCCATGAAAATAAGAAATAAACCTGAGAATATACCTGTATAAGCAAGTATTTTAAATTTAAAAACCCAAATGAAGTCTGTATAAGGACTCTTCATATTTTAAGGCAGCAAGTATACCTGTCCCCGTGTAATACCATGTAAGAGGTTGAGTATGATTCTTAAAATATGCTTAATTTTTTCAAACATGAATTATTCTATAACTTTTATCCATTTCTTTTGTTATTGTTAAGTAATATGACAAAACAATCTGACAGTTAGATTGTTTTGTCATATTAATTACCCACCTTATATTTTATTATATATTGTTAATAACATGAATACGACCTTAACCGACCATAACTTTTACTGGATAGGATATATATTTTTGTAATAACATGATTAGGACCTTAACCCAACTTAAATTATATTGGCTAGCCAATTCATGGGCGATCATAATTTAAACAATTATATAAATTTTTTATGCTTTTGGACAAATAAGTCATCACTTATCTTCACACCTGCCATGCCAAACAAGCAGTGACGGTCATTATTTGAACAGTCCTACATTGATTTAGTATTTTAAATTTAATAAAACACAAGTGGAGCTATTTATTTAAAAAAACCCAGATGCAGTCTGTATAAGGAATCTCCATATTTTAAGGTAGCGAGTATACCTGTCCCAATGTATAGGATATATATTTCCAGTAACATGATTAGGACCTTAATTTAAACAATTAATAATTTGAATAATAAGTATATAAAATATTTATATGTCAGTAGTTAACAGCATCTTTTGCTTTGTAATGGAATCTCTTCTCTTTCCTGGCCGTCTCTAATCTTCAACTATTTCTTGATTTCTACTTTTCCTTAATTAAATAACTATATTGTCTTTTCTAGACATTTAAATTCTGTATATTAAATTTTTAAATATAAATCAATATACACAAAATGAATGATATATAGATCTCATACAAAAAGCTAATTCAGTAAATATTGAATAAATAAAAATGAAAAAAATGGTTGAATATAAAATTTTGTATCTTGTATATAGAAAGTTTTTCTATCACTTTCCATCTAAATTTCCTGGAAATTAATCTAAAGGTGAAGATGAAGCAAAGGAAATTTCGTCATTCATCATGCCTCAGAGAGCAGCCCACTTAAGCTTGAAAGTGTCATTAGCTCACATTTACCAATCATGCCTTCTAAATTTTGTGTTATAATTAGTAAATGCTGCCATATATATATACTATCCTAAAATTATTGCACATGGCAGAAGTTAACCGCATTTAATTTTGAAATGTGTTTTTTTTTGTTTCTTTTTTTTTTTTTTTTTTTTTTCCCATATGTGTGAAAGTAAAGTTATGTTTTTTTAATTTTGGGATTTTATTTAACCCCCCAAGATTTGCCGAAAACCATAAGTCCCCTCAGGTATTGGTATTATGCTCCTCTCTCTGCTGTCAAAATCTCTCAGTTGTTTTAACAAGATAAAGAGTAAAAGAGTAAATGTTCCTAAAAATTACCACATAAGCCCCCTGCTATAGTTTTTCTTGCTAAATATGAGAGTTGACCAATTTGACTAAACACGTTTTGAGTTTACCTAATTATATTTTGAACTTGACTATTTACCCCTAAAATTGATTAACACTCATTTTTAAATTTAAAGAAAAGTAAAATAAAAGATATTTTTCTTTATTCCTAAATTATTCTAACCCTTAACCCAAAATTAACAATATTTAATAACAAAAAATTTAAAATACTTTAAAGAATTTAGAAAAATAAAAATACTTTACAAAAAACTAAAACAACAAAAAAAAAAAAAAAAAAAAAAGCTGAAGTCTAAAAATATTTGTCCAGCTGCCGACCTAGCATTGGTTTTTTTTTTTTTTTTTAGATTTTTTCTAATTTTTTTTTAACTTTTCAAAATTTGTAATTTTTTATTCTTTTAATTTTTTATTTAGATATTTCTGATTTTTTTTTCATTTTTCCAAATTTTTAATTTTCACATTTTTTTTTTAGATTTATTAGTTTCTTTTAAAAAAATAACAATTTGTAATATTTATATAATTTATAATTTTTTCTTTATGTAACATTGTAGGGAGGGGCCTGTGCTAGGTTGGTCTATAATAAAATTAATAATTATCAACAATTCATGAAAAAATAGAAACCCCTAAACCTAACACACTCACCCACATCGTCACTCCTAGGGGTGGGAGAAATAATCCAAAAAGTGATCCGAACCGGAAACCGAACCAAAATAGGTTTTTTACAACTGATTAGGTTTTGGTTCCAAAATGTAAAAAAACGGAAAACTGTTTGGTTTTCACTGGAAAAATATCTCAAACCGGCTAACCAACCGGTTTTTAAAACTGGTTATCCACTTGTACCAAGTAAGTAAGTATATAAGCAAACCCTTATTTTTTTTTCAATATTCTCTAATCTCTACTTCTCTTCTCCGCCTCCAACTCACTCCTCTCTCACTCCATATCCCACAATCTCCTCTCTCTCACCCACATTGTCGCCCCTCTCCCCCTCTAACTCATTGCCACACTCATATCAAGACCCATACCCCACAGCTGCCAGTCCTCTCTCCCTCCCAACCTGGATGTCTATGGCGCAGCCCTCTCAAATCTCCCAACTCATAAGTTAAAAGTAATATTTAAATTAGTTAACTTATAAAACCCTCTCTTTTTAATTGTACCTAAAATTTAATTATACATAAAATATTATAAGTTTTCTCTTTAGAAAACCCTAAAAGGATAAATTAAAATAAAGACAAATTACACACTTATAAAACTATTTCCAAGTAATTGTACATGAAATTTTAAATTATTCAACAGATTTTACTCTCAAATAACGGTCATGTGATTAGAACACTACATACAATTCTTTGCATTGTACCGTTTTAAAAATAATGCATGGGAGTTCTCTTAGAAAAGCAAGTAGAACCTACAAATTCAAACTGTGAAATTCTATTAACCTAAGAAATAAATTTGCCAATTTTGAAAACAGAAATTTGTGTTGTTAGCTTTTGTTCCAAAAAGCGAGGGATACAACAACCACAAGCATATTAAACTTTTTAAAAAATATACAAATTACCAAAAAAAAAAAAAAATGGTGTTTTTGTTAAAATTTGTTTTTTTTTTTTTAAATAATCAAGTTACAATTCCTAAATTTTTCTATTATTACTATAATTTATTTTAAAAGAAAAAAAAAAAAGACAAGCAATTCAAGCCAGGGTGAGGATGGTTTCAATTTCAGGGAACCCTAGCCTGATCTATGCTTTCAATAAGCGTAAGGCTGGGGATGTGATTCTTTTTTTTTTTTTTTTTTTTTTTTTTTTTTTTTTTTTTTTTTTTTTTTGGGACTGGTTGTTGAAATTGCATTGTTGAAGACTTGTTTTGAGTAGAAGGACATTATGTCATTTATAAAATTCTGTCAAAACTAAAAAAAGTTATTAACGGTAGGGATTTATCAAAATTTTCCAAACCTCAAGGGTTTAAAATTAATCCCAAAGCTATATGTAATTGCATAAATGAGTGGACTAACGAATATGATAGTAATTGTAATTAATCTGACAAATGAGTACCCACCCACCCCATTATTTGACAAATGAGTACCCCATCACTTGGGGGATTTTGGTCATATTAAAATATTATAAATTTAATAAAATAATCCGAAAGCATATGGTAATTGCAAATGATGGGATGTTATATTTAAAAGCCCAGATGAAGTATGAGGAGTCTTCATATTATATTTTAAGGTAGCAAGTATACCTGTCCCAATATATAGGATATATATTTCTGGTAACATGATTAGGACCTCAATTTAAACAATCAATAATTTGAATAGTAAGCATATAAAATGTTTATATG